AATGTACTTTTTAGTGTCTAATAATTTGTCACGAATGCCACAAAAATTAGACGTTGAAGGTGTATGGGTAATTTCGTAAAAGGTTTTCACAACTATTTTATTAGTGGACGAATGTATCTTTTGATGACTAAAATTTGGTGGTTAATTCTAATACTTTTAGACGCTGAATGTGGAATCCAAAAGGTTTTCGCAGCTATTTTATTAGTGGACGAATGTATCTTTTGGTGACCAAAATTTGGTGGTTAATTCTAATAATTTTAGACGCTGAATGTGGAATCCAAAAGGTTTTCGCAACTATTTTATTAGTGGATGAATGTATCTTTTGGTGACCAAAATTTAGTGGTTAATTCTAATCATTTTAGACACTGAATGTGGAATCCAAAAGGTTTTCGTGACTATTTTATTAGTGGACGAATGTATCTTTTGGTGACCAAAATTTAGTGGTTAATTCTAATCATTTTAGATGCTGAATGTGGAATCCAATTATGATAAATTACTTTTTGCTACTAAAAAATTAGTTGCAGAATGTGTTTTTTTATAGAAAATAATTAATAACAAAAGCATTTCGTATTGACCTAGTTTATACATTCAACATCAACAAAATAATTGACACAATAAAAAAATCTGATCACTAACATCAAATATCATATTTTCATACATATATATATTTATATATATAGTTCATACATGGATTTTTATGCATGATGAACAATAAAAATCCAAAATGCACTATCACGTGTGCATAACCAAAAAAAAAAACATGCACCACATTTTCATCACTAGCTCTTTATCTGTGCATAACTAACAAAAAAATGTCCATCTCATGTACACCATCTAACAGATATATGCAAACAATCCTAAAAGGATGGTCCTACCCCCATGTCAAAATATGTACTGCCCATACAACAAAAAACTAACCATCAATATTGTTAGCATCTCAAGTGTCAGCAGTTGAGGTTTTTGAAATAGTTGTAGTTGATGAGGACGAGTCTTCATCAGTTGGAGATGGCGATGGCTGTTGAGTTGGAGCTTTACCAGATTGTTGTAGTTTAAGGGCTATTTTAATTTTAAGTTTCAAAAATTCATGTGCAAAATTGTTCACTTTTTTTTTTATTTTTTTTTTTTAACCCTAAAATCGGGTTTGGGGTTTTGTTTTTCTTTAATTGTAAGGATTTAGGGACTTTTCAACTTGTTTACTTTTTAAATTTTAAGGAAAAATTGTTTACTTTTTAATTTTTTTTTTTTTTTAAATTGGAAATTCGGTTTTTTGTATTTTTGTGGACCACAATCGAACGGTTTCCCAGATAAACGAAAAACTGGTTCGGTTCCTGGTTAGGTTCGGTTTCTATATTTTTCTAAACACCCCTACATTTGGGTGTTTGGGATACACCTTGCCAAAACTCACCGAAGTTAACAATTTCGTCTAAATAGGCACAAAATAAGTGTCAGAGTCAGTAAGCGAGTCGTTGTCTACTGAACGAGAGTGGTAGAAACTAGAATTGTTGTTCCAGTGGCGGAAGGAGGTCAACTATGAGGGTTTGTACAAATGAGTGAAATAACGGTTAAGCAAAAGTTTTAGGGAAAAAATGGTAATGTCAGATGAAAGAGAAGACAAAAATAAAATCAAACACCATTCATTTATTGGTAACAATAAACGAATTTAAAGCACTCATTACAATTATAATAGTCATTGTAATGTCAGATGAAAGAGCCATTACGAAGTTAAAGCCACCCATTTAGGAACGTCACTAACAACATATACTTAAATAAATTAAAGCAAATGTTGTGAAGAAACGGATTGAAAATCAAACAATAAAATTGAAATACCATTTGTAAAAGAATGAGCTGACATAAAAATAAAAATAAAAAGTTACCTTCAATGGGGTAATATAGGCGGCAAAAGTAGAATCAAAGAGATGGTAAAGTAAAATCAAACAATAAAATTGATTTTGGTTACTAGTAGTATATATTATTTTTAATAACTAATATTTAGTGGCTAACATTTTGGTTTCAAAAAAAATCCTATTAACAACTATAACTTTAGCCAAAATAACATACTCAAAATTTCAATTTATTTCAAGCGGGAACATGGGGTGCTCAAAATTTATCATACATTTGGCAACTAAAATCTTAGTTGCCAAAAGAAGATAATTTGCAACTAACTAATTAGTTATGCAACAGTAATTTTAGTCACAAATTAAAATAATATTTTTTCATTTTACCGGGAAAGTTGGGGTCAAAAAAATTCATCAACTTTTAGCGACCAAATACATTTTAGTTGCTATATATGAGTTTTTGCAACTATTTGTAATATGCACAAAATAATTAGTTGCCAAATATACCTTGGGCCCTTTGTAATTATTGTTAGAAGCTTGGATATTTCGATAATTGTATTATTTTGTAACTAAAAAAATAGTTACAAATTAATTAATAAATATTTGCATCTAATTTAGCAACTATTCAGTAGTTACAAATAATTGTTTTCTGTGACCATAATTTTAATTGCAGAATCCCTTCTTGTAATTGCCAATTATGTTCGCGTAAAAATTGACAATCAAATAAATTAGTCGCTGATGTGATATTTTAGACAACAAATCAAATTAGTCGCAAAATATTAATTTTAGACGCCAAAGGTAAGAATAAATGGGCCCTAGAATTTTATTCTCTTTTGCCGACTGATTGGAATTTAATTACTAAATGTGGGGTATCTGGCTATCTGCAACTATTTTTGCCTAGTTGCAAAAAAATTGGTTGCAAAAATTACTTTTTCTTGTAGTGATTAAAGAGATTATAACATTGTTAAGAAGATAAACTAAATTATTTTTAATCTAAAAATTTAGAAAAAAAAAAAAATAAGAGAGCAGAATGAGGGTGAAAAGTGTTTATAGAGAATTAAAATTATTTATTAAGATTAAGAAATATTATTTTATAAAATTAAAATATTTGAATAATATATAATAAATTTAAAATTTTTTTTTTCTTCCGTCCAGAAAAGCATATAAACACGATAATATTGAAAGTTGACTTGTTCATTCCTCCTTTAAATAGTTAAAGAATAGCGGAAATATCTCAAAATAAGGTGCAAACAAATGCAATTGCAAATTTGCAACTATAAATTCTTGAAGAGATGGGAGATGTAGACAAAAGAAAAAAAAATAAAGCATTGTGGAGCCAAGCCATTGGAAAAACAATGGCGCCCTGCGCTTCAAAGGTTCTCTTTGTTCTTGCTCTCTTATTTGTTTCTACGTACGCGGAGAGCAGAGGAAAGACTCATAACAAGGAGGAGGACTTGTTTCAAGAACTTAATGATGCAGGTCTCAATAAAAAACAAAAGTACTCCGATGGCAAAGCATTGGGAAAGAATACAATTTTGAAGGCGAAATCTGAAAGAAAATTAGGAGAGAACGCACTACCAGTAGAATTACCAGCCGGAGTATTCAATGGAAAATGGGAGCTGGCATCTACGAGTTCCGGTGTCTCAGCTATGCACGCTATCTTGCTTCCCAAAACCAGCAAGGTCTTGATGTACGATGCCACAATTTGGAAGCAATCAACAATTGAATTGAGCCCTGAACAGCGGCCTTGCCGTATGGTGGATGAAAAAACCCAAGAAGTTGATTGTTTTGCACATTCAGTCCTGTTTGACCCTANTGAAATTGTAGTTGTAAATAAATATGTATAATATGAACCAACACAGCTCTTACTTCTCCTTTATAATTTTTTTTTTTTTAACCATATGTTTTGTTTTATATGATACGTAAATGAAGCTCCGTAAGATTTAGGTTCTTTTATGTCAATTTTTAATGACTTGTCACCCCGTTTGATCCATATCTTCACACAAAGCCCCTTCTTGTTACCCTTAATTCAACCCATTTAAACATTTTGGGCTGATATTAGGAATATACTTCCTCCCCTACTTTCGCCATCTTTGGGCCGGTAGTGCTTTATGTCAATTGGGCATTCTCCAGAAGCAACATTCTTTAGCTTGCTTACCATGGGCTTTCATTCTGGACTTGAATAAATAGCGCCGGTAGTACTGACATCACCAGTAGCAAAGCAAGTTCAGCTAGGAGAGAGGTGACAAATGTTGGGCTTGCTGTAGCGCCTAATTCGCTTGATCATGAATCTGCAGCTCCTGACGACGGTCCACATCGAAATTCCAAAACTTTAAATTTGAGAAAGAAAATTCAATACATATATTACCACTATTCAAACAGACATAAATAATTTTTCTCTGAATGCAGAAAATAAATGACAATAGACAAAGTAATTTTTCTTTCAGAAAAAAGTCACAACTGCAGAACTGCTTTAAGAAGTTGGCTCCTATAAGACAAATTAGAAAGGATTCAAATAAGTAATTTTACTAAAAGATTAACATCTAACTATAATATTTATTCTTTAATTTATAATATTCATTCACTTTTGCTGGTTTTTGCTCTTCTCTTTTTCTTAAAAATTTTCGGGTTTGTTTGTTTTATTATTTCTAATCCTATTCTCTATCTTATTTTCAAAATATGTGTTTGTTTAATTATTTGAAAAATACTATTCTATTTTTTAATTATTTTTAGACCCCTTAAGTTTATTAACTTAATTAAACACACCCAGAAAAAGAAGTTTAAAAATTAATAGATCTGGTCTTTTGCGACCGTCGACGACTAGATTTGACTGAAAAAGGTTAGATCGACACACCATCGATCATATTCAACCGATCTAAGTCGTAACAGAAGATTTCGACCAGATTTCGACGGTGGTGGTCGAAATCTGACACTGTAGTGGTTGAGTGTTTTTGTCATTTTACAAATTTTTTATACATTTAGGTGTTTAGAAGTTTTTTTTTTTGTTAATTTTTAAATTTTACTTTGTAATACTCACCCTATCCAACTATTCAATATTATTCTCGAAATCTTATCCAAAATAACGAAACAAACGCTTAAAAATCTGAATTTTTTCCGAATCCGAACCCGTTGTCTCACTGTTGAAAATAAAAATTTTCTAATAATATGGATTGCCAATGTATGAGAAGAGATGTCCTCATTGTAAATCCAACCAGCTCTAATCAAGTTGATCCCGAATCTTCGGAGTCTGAAAAAAGACTAAAGAAATGGTATTCTCAAAATCCATCGGAGACGGTAATAGCAACCAGTTTTATAATCAGGACACCCGATAATATGCCCACAACTTTGAAGAGAAATGGAAGCGACAACTCTGCCTCTATAATGGATGCTCTTCTCAGTGCTCGTCAAGTCACAATCTGGACTGATGTGCACGGAGGTTACAGTGCAGACCCAAGAAAAGGTTTGTATGCAGCCTTATATATGCTTATCTTGCAAAATCACTCTAATGTTTGGATATCTTCTTAGAACTTTAAGAAAACATTACTATTAGGTTATATCGTAATGTGAAGAGCTATCTTCTCTGCAGTTAACGAAGCTGTGATACTGAGGACATTGTCTTACCAAGAGGCTTCACCGCTCATAATTCCGACAAAAAGCTTTGGTTTTATGACGATACTTTATTTTAATGTTTTTGGTTGTTTTGTTTAAGAATAATGGAAGAATATTTAATGCGCCAGTGATAATGGGGTTGATTTCTATTTTCTCTAATATTTATAATTTTTTTTGGGTTTAAAAAAAAAATTTGTTAGGTTTGATTTCTTTAGGGGTAAACTATGTTTCTTAATTTATAGGTCAGGTTCTAAGCAGTTTGAATACACTTTTTCCTTATTCATAGAGACTGAGACTTTGTAGTCTTTTATCAATAACAAAATTGGTTTCTTTTTAAATCTTAGCTACCACTTTTCATTCTCTTTACATTTACACAGTGAAGTTCCGGTTTGAAGTGCTGAAAATCCTCCAATTAGTGTCTAATAATTTGATGGTGAATTATATTGAAATTTCAGGTGGAGAATGAACTAGAATCCTCTAGAGAAGAATGTGAGGTCCTCAGGGCACGATTGATGTGTTTAGAGCAAGATATAAAATTTGAGAAGAAATGCAGGTTTGTTCTACTAACCCTTATCCAAGCCTGAGCCCTGATGAAGTAAGAAAACTGTAGTTATGGACATTCGTATTTGTGCTCAGCATCTGATCATGAAAATCACCATCTTTATTTTGTTGCTGGATTTAATTTGTAATTTTAGTTTGGATGTCATGTTCATGAGCCAACTCTAATGATAAATTGTCTTCTGTTGCAGTTTGGAGAAATCTATAGATATAGATAAACTGAGAAATGAGCTAAAATTAGCTGAACACAAGAGTAACCAACTTGAGCAAGTATGTTATATTGGGATATAAGTATTCTTACATTTAGTAACTCAGCAAAATTTCAAAATAGTATGTCATGTATTGTAATTTTCATTTCTCCCTCAGATGTTGAAGTCGAAGTTGGAGATGCTCGCTTTGGATTTCCAGCATGCTCAGGAGAAGGTGAATAAGGGTCACAATGTAAGTTTGTGAACTTTGTGTTTATTTGGTGCAATGATAATTCACTAATTCTCATGTTGGATGTGTTTCTTCATTGGAGTCATTCCATTCCGTTTGCTAATTGCTAGTTTTTCGTAATCCGATGAAGTATGCTATCTATACTGATTAAACATTGCAACTATTGGATGAAGAGATGTTGCAAATGCAAATTTCATGAATTTCTCTGGTGTTTATTACGACAAAAGTTTATCCGGGTGCCTTACAGGATGAAGTTAGCAATAACATTGAAAGGGCAAAGCTTAGAATGAGGCTGAAATGGACACAAGCGCATTTAGATGCCTTACGTCGAAGATACAGGGAAGCAGTGCAGGAATCTGAAAACATGAACAAGCAGTTTGAGGAGGCTTCAGCAAACCTTAAGGAGCGGTTGGCTTTGAAAGGAATTGAAGTTCTCAACCTTAAGAAGCAGCTAGCTGCTGCAATGGGTCAATAAATTCTAACTTTTACTGCCTTTGTACATGTAAACTAACTAATGTATAATACTGTAATTCGTAGCTCAAATTAATACAATTTAGTTGTCTTACTTACCCACCAATTTCAATGTGATATTTTGTTCACTGCTCTATTGAGTTCTCATCCTACATATTCAGCCTCAGCTTTGGCGAAGCTGATTTACTCATTAAAATATATTACAGACATTGTTTTAAAAATCGGATCGCTCGTTGACCTGATCAAGGCGTTGGTTCGCGGGTTGACCGGTTCAATCGATTGGATTGGTATATAGTAGTCACATATTTAAATAATTCTATTAATTGTTATAAGTTTGAAAACCAGCAAATACATCCTTAAAATTTACTTATAAGCCCCTGTACGTTTAAAATAAAGCAAATGCATTCTATATATTTTATTATTAATTATTTTTTTCTCTCTCTATCACTTTCATCTTTTTCCTTTTTTCTCTCTCCATCAGACCATCACTCTCTATCACTTTCTTTTTTATCCTTTTTTTTCTCTCTCTGCCCATCACTCATCGTCACTTTTTTCTTTCTTCATACACATTCGCGTCTCTCTATTATAAATTTTCTTTCCTCTTTTCTTTCTTCTAATCTTTTTCCTTACTTTTTCTCTTGTCTTGTCTTCTCTTTCTTCTTCCTTCCCCTCCTCTTATTTCTTCTTTTTTACACTGTAGATTTTAGAGTAAATGAAGAAGAATAGAAGATGAAAATGGAAGATACAATTTGGTTTTTTTATTCAAATGAAATGGAGAATGAAACGGTGCTGCAAAGTGCAAATTGGTTTAAGAATTCAATGTTCTGAAACCTAGATCGGACCGGGCGGTCGAACTGGTCCGACCGGGTTTCGCTTACATTTCCGGTTTGAAGAGAGTAAATAACAGGAATTTTCGGTCAAACCGTTTCAAATCGCGGTTGAACCGTCTTACTGTAGCAAACCGACGGTCCAACCGGTATTAAAAAGATTTCTGGTTCACACTCAATCATTGTTTTAAAAGCCGGATCGGACCGGCCGGTCCAACCGATTGGACCGGGAACCGGTCACGTGTCCGGTTCGAGACAACCCTAAAACTGTTATAATGCAATGGATCGCATTAAACCGTTAAAAAATCGGATATTTTCAGCGAACCGCCGGTCCAACCGAACCGACTGATAAACCGGTCCAATTAAAAATCCTTAAACCTAATACACGCAGCCTTCTTCTCATCGCGTTCAGTTCATCTCTTTCTCAGTTTCTTAAGAAAATTTTCTCAGTTTCAAATGCAAATTTCTCAGCTTCTTCTCTCTTCTCTGCAAAATTTTTTTAGCTTCGTCTCTGTTGTTTGTTCTCTACGAAGATTTCTCTTTGAAATCCCACCCAAATCGCATCTGAACTCTCTGAAATCGACGACGACGTCTTTCTCCCTCGCCGGAAATCGACGACGTCTTCCTCCCTTGCAGGAAATCGACGACGACAGCTCCGTTCCTCGCTGGAAGTCGACGGCGACAACTCCATTCGTTGACGACAGCTCCATTTCTCGATCCAGGTAATAAACACACCATTCCTTGATCCAGCTTCAATAATCAATAATGATTTCGTTGCAAACTTAATCTGGAGCAATAATCAATGCGCCATGGCTTTAGTCTGAATCATGTTTTAAATTCTAATCAGTCCCTAAAAAGTTAAAGAAGTAAGCTGGGCGCACATTTTTAATCCTGTGGAGAATAAATGGCCCTACAATCTTAGAGAATACGATACTTTTGATACAACATATCATGACTCCCTAGACAGAAGAATTCTGAAAAATTTGAGAAATTTTTGTTGTTGTTCTTGAAGTATGTCTTATATTTGGTCACAAGTTATGGTGTGGTCCTTCTTTTCTCTGGAGCTGGTTTACAAGAATAAGTTTTGCTTTCGTTTTTGCTTAACATGTAAGATCTTGTCTTTGCTTCAAATGTGTATTCTCAGGTTCTGAGGTATGTTGGAGTGGTGGATGCTGTCAACTGAAAACAGTTGCGAAGATACAAGAAAGACCATCCATTTGCACAACTCTCTGGTTCTGATAATATCATAGCTTTCACGACAACAAGATACAAGGAGCGGCCACTTATAGTCCGTGGTCCGGGTGCTGGAGCTCAAGTCACAGCCGGTGGAATTTTCAGTGACATATTGCGGCTAGCCTCATATCTCGGTGCCCCATCATAGTGATGTCAATATCTTTACCTTCTGGTTTTAGCTATCCTTCTTTCGGTTATTTAAGACAGTAGTTCGAGTACTTTTGTCGATTGTAGTGCTTGAGTTGTATTATAGTGTATCTTAGTTCGTAATAAAATATGAAAATCAATCTGTTGTTTAATTTAGTTAACTTAGCAGTTTTAGGATTGGAGTAGTGCTAGATTAGTATCGGCAATGTAGTGTGTTGTTTTGTTTTCTGCCCACAAGCGTGGTGGCTGATGCTAAATGCAGTGGTGGATCCAGGACTTTTGTCGAGAGGGGGCCTCCGCGGCTTGGTCATTATTTGCCAAATAATTAGTGAAAACTTTAAAAAATCACCAAACCTTAATAAAAAATAATATAATATTAAGAACCTGAGAAAAAAGAATATACATTAACGCAATATTTTCTTACTTGAATAAATCTATGAGAAGCAAAATTTTGAGTAAAAGTGTTGAGTAAACCTTGAACAAAACCTTCTTTTAATATTTTTATTTTTGGCTTTCAAATATAATAATATAAATTTTCATAGCGTTGGTCAAACCTAGCCTAATTAAACTAAAGTCAATCAAAACTTAAATCAAGTTAATGCTACGTTGACTTTTAATATGAATTAATAAAAGAGGGGAAATTTTTTTAGTATAAACATAGATAGTAACTCAAATTTCTTTAATAATTTTGAATAACTGAACGGTGATATTTAAATAATAGGAAAGTGGTGGGTGAAGGATGAAGAATAACGTCCTTTAAAATATAGTTAAGGTTTTAATTTGAGAAAGCAGGTTCATTCTTAAACAGAAAATACAAAATAAACTCACAAGATTAATATATTTTTCTCTCAAATTAGAATAAAAAACCTCAAAAAGAAAAAAATGATTTAATCCTTTAAATAAACTAAATTGAAATGAACAATACACATACCCAAAATCTATAAAACAGAAAACAGAGCTAATTATGACACTTTGAATAGTGAAAATTTAACAATTTCAGTCTTCAAAAATTTTAAGAGAGAATAACATGAGAAAGAGAAAGAGAGTAAAGAATTTACGGATAAAATCATAAAAAAAAACAGGTAAAGCTGTGTAGGAAAACATTGGAGAGAGTTTTAAACTTTTAATATCCTTGGGTTTAAAATATATATTTATAATATAATATATATATATTAACAGGTTTTTTTGTAGACCTAGATATACAATATGTATAATATTCTATTTTTAAAAATTTGAAGATACCCTGATTATATGTTAAATTACATTTTTTTTATAGCCTGTATATTATAAATTTTTTTTCAAATATATGGTAGGCCCAGGGGCTGAATCCGCCCCTGGCTAAATGTATGCTCTTGATCTTGATATTCAGTAAGAGCTTGGATTTAGTCACGTATTGTTTCTTTTCGTTTTATAATTTATTGGTATTTTTTTTTTAAGTTTTAGAATATAAATTGAAATATATTAAAATACAATATCATGTTTGGATTTGGACTTTAAATTGTTGTTGAATACTTAAATTATGTTGGGATTGTTGTTGAATTTGAACTTTGAATTATGTTGGACAATAATTAAATTGTTATTGTCTTATTAAAATATAGAAATCTTAAAAAAAAAAAAAAGTTTTATTAAAAATGTGCTTACATCATCATAATTTGTGATGACATCACCGATCCAACCGACACCGGTACAACTGACGGTCCAACCGGTTGAACCGTGACCTGACTATCAGAGCGGGTTGTCCTCCGGTCTGGTTTTTAAAACAATGCACTCAATCTGGTTTAATCATATGAAATAAAATAAAAAATTAAAAAAAATTAAAGTAAAAACCACAGTAGCACAACACACAAAGTCAAATTGTCAAATTGTCAAACCAAACCCCCAAAAGCCAAAATTTTTATTTTTTAATACATTTTCAAATTTCAATTTGCTTTTGAGCTGTGAGCTACTGAGCCGTCTGCCCCTTTTTTAGTTTTTCAGTTTTTCATCTTGGTTTGCTACTGCCATTCGCGATCTCCACTCTCTAGTCTAGTCCTTCTCCTCTTGTCCTCCATTCGCGATCTCAGAAGTCAGATCTCCTTCAAGCTTTCAGCTAAGCTTCAGTGATTCAGCCTCACGTTTTCACTCTGCAGTCTTTAAGTCTTCGGTCTGCTCGACTTTGCTTCAGTGCTTCTTCCTTGCCGTGGTTGGTCTGTTGCCTGCAACTCTTCATTCTTCAACTTTTAGTCTTCAACGTGAACTCTTCAATCATCACCATCGCCATCTAAAAGCCTGCTTCTTGCTTGCCATTGTTGATCTGTCAGATTAGTCACTTCAGCTCAGATTTCAACCTTCACATCTGCCGCCGTCTGCCGCCATCTGCGAGCTGCTGTTTGCCGTGATGAAGTAACAATCTACATATTCCTATCTTTCTCTGTCTTCTATGTCATATCATGATTCATAATATTGTATTGATGACTTTATGTACAGATTTGTGAACCATGTTAGTGGCTGGCTTTTGGATTTATGATGTGTAGAATCTGTAGATTTAATTATTTCTTGTTGTTTGTCTAGGTGGCTTGCTTGTTTTAGAATGCTGGTGTGGGTTGGTTTGATGGTTTTTAAACTTTAGTTAGATGGAGAATCTGATTTTTTTTTCTTTTTTTCGTTTTTGCTGACGTCAGCGGTCCGACCGAGCGGTTGGATTGGTCAAACCGTTCGAACCGGAAACCGGCCATTTGGCCGGGTCGACTTCCGGTCTGGTTTTCAGAACATTGTAAGAATTATGAATATGAATTTTTTAGGATCAGATACAAAAAAA